CTCCTGCTCCGATACAGCAATCTCCTGCTCCGATACAGCAATCTCCTTATCCGAAACAGCAATCTCCTGCTCCAATATAGCAATCTCTTTATCCAATACAGCAATCTCCTGCTCCAATACAGCAAACTCCTGCTCCAATACAGCAAACTCTCACTCCAATATAGCAAACTCCTGCTCCAATACAGCAAACTCTCACTCCAATATAGCAAACTCCTGCTCCAATACAGCAAACTCTCACTCCAATATAGCAATCTCCTTATCCAATATAGCAATCTCCTTATCCAATACAGCAATCTCCTGCTCCAATACAGCAATCTCCTGCTCCAATGCAGCATGTGGTGACACTGGGGCTGAATGTTTTTGTGAACCTGGGACCCTGGTGCTATGACCAAATGGGGAGCCTCTGCTCGTAACCTGGCAGCAGCCAGACTGAATGTCAGGCCAGACAGAAGGTTCCTTGGTGATGAATGGTGTTTGTGGTGCAGATGGACTTGAGGGGAGATGCCTCCCTTGTTTTTCCTGCTGTTACTCCCACCTGGAAAACCTCTGAATTTGTTCCCAATTTGTGCCTGTCTCTCTCAGCTGCTGGCTGGGCCTCCGCCTGCAGATGGCGATAGTGGGGGAGAACACCAAGGAGAGGAATTGTTTGGCCCAAGTGAAAGATGAAGATAAGCAACTTATTAACCTGGCCATCGCTGTTAAATGTTTAGGTTCTGAATTCAAAAGGACACCGTCTTCTTGGGGGAAAAAAAATTAGTCAAATTAGGGGAGTGACAAAGACAAATACTTCATTTTTTTCAGCACAGTGAAGGTGCAATCAAGTAGCATCATAACAGACTTTGAGGAGGGTAACGTTAACGATCAATGCTTTTGTAAGCATATTCACAAAATATGCCATTTTCTAATATGCCAATATTAGAAAATTAGATTTAAATACATGAAACTGGCCTTCAGCAAATGCATGAAAGGGCACATGGCAGACTGACGGTAATACAAATGTAAAATATGGTGGATGCTGAAACAACAACAGAAGATGCCGGGAAAATTTAGCAGCTCGTCATCATCCAAAGGGAGTGAAAAACAGAGTTAACGCCTCAAGTCGATGACCTTTCATTAACAGTTGGGCTGACAGTATGACACAGCACCTGATGTTCTTTTCCTAGACTTCTGCATCTTTGCCAAAGATGGATTCTACCCGTTAAGCCACTAGAAAAGCCTGGCTTCAGTTGAGCAGCTGTTTCCGTACCTGAGATTCATGTCTCCATTCAGTGCCAGTGAGAAGATGTTGGAGAGGGTTCCTCCAGGGCAACAGCCACAAATCAGGACTGACAGAGATTCAATCGACGACAGCCTGAATGCTTTGGCGAGGCTGAAAGCTGTTAGGGGCATAATCCCATATTGAGAAAGCACTGCAATCAGTACCCCCTTAGGATTCAAAATGTGAAGCTTGATCATTGGTATTTCCATCGTGCAGCCCATTGATATCATCACAATGAACAGAGCAAGGATTGAAATGACGGTAATGGTCTGATCTATTAGCTTTCCTGGTGGCTGGTTTGTCTCCTCCACACTTAGGTTCAAGACTGGTGTCGAGTTGGTACTCAGGAGCACATTCCAAATATCTTTCACCAAATATTCCTCACTGGTGGTGTTCATTTTGATTCAATGGTTCAATGCTTAATCTCCGAATCGCTTCTGCTTTGTAGATGAGAAGTAAATGGACCTCCGGAAATAAAACATTTACAGCATTACTGATGCTCAGAGATGGTTTTGTTTAATATAAATCTACAGGACATCTGCTTCAAGTGCTACCAGGTAGCCTGTTCGTATAAAGTCTGGCAATTTCTCTGAATCTACAAGAGAACAAGCACTGTAAGGTCATGTTTTAAGCTTTGCTGTGACTCATAAGTGACTGTATTCAAGCCAGTCTCTGAATAGCAACAAAGACCTAGTCATTCAGCTGTATTGTTGGATAGCAGCTTAAAATTCTCTGATTTAATCACATTGGAAATGCAGAGCAAGCAAATGATACATAACCCTTGACTCGTGGAATTGTTCCATGAGCGCATTTCTTAAAAGCCTGGAGTAGAACAATGAGAAACAAGCTTGTCAACAATGTTACATTTCATTTATATTTTCTGTTCATATTCCTCCAGTTTTCTCCCCTCTGTTCCCAAAGATGTATTCATTTGGAACATGTCTACTTGGATCCACACTGGGATATGACTCCTTGGGTCCATGCTAGGAGATACCCATTTGGGCCCATTCTGGATTATGTATCTCTGGGTCCATAGTAGAAGATATCTCTCTGGGTCCACGCTGGGATATGTTCCCCTGGGACCTGACCATCATACTTTGTTCAACTATCTGAATTGATTAGTGAATATGTGGAGAATGTAAGTTGCTTACCATTATTTAAGAAAGGTGGTAAGGAAAAGCCAGAGAACTATAGACCAGTAGGCCTGACGTCAGTGTTGGGTAAGTTTTTGGAGGGGGTTCCGAGAGACAGGATTTACAAGTATTTGGAAAGGCAAGGACTGATCAGGGTTTGTGTTTGTAAAATCTTGTCTCACTAACTTTACTGTGTTTTTTGAAGAAGTGACGAAGAAGATTGATGAAGGCAGAGCGGTGGACATTGTCAGTAAGGCATTTGACAAGGTTCTACATGGTAGGCTGGTTAGCAAGGTTAGATCACATGGAACCTAGGGGAAGCATTTGGACGCAAAATTGGCTAGAAGATAGAAGACAGCGGGTGGTGATGGGTAGTTCCTTTTTGGACTGAAGGCCTGTGACCAATGATGCACTGTAAGGTTCGGTGCTGGGTCCACTGATTTTTGTCATTTATATAAATAGTTCGGTTGTGAACATAGCAGGAATGGTTAGTAAGTTTGCAGATGACACCAAAATTGGTGGTGTAGTGGACAGTGAAAAGGTTATCTCAGAGTACATCAGGACATCGATCAGATGGACTATTGGGCTGAGGAGTGGCAAATGGAGTTTAATTTAGATAAATGTGAGGCGCTGTATTTTGGTAAGGCAGATCAGGGCAGGACTTATACACCTCAAGGTAAGATCCTGGGGAGTGTTGCCAAACAGAGAGACCATGGAGTGCAGGTTCATAGTTCCTTGAAAGTGGAGTTGCAGGGTAATGGAGAAGGTGTTTTGGTATGCTTCCCTTCACTGGTGAGTGTGTTGAGCATAGGTGTTGGGATGTCATGTTGCAGCTGTGCAGGACATTGGTTAGGCCACTTTTGGAATATTGCGTTCAGTTCTGGTCTCCCTGCTATAGGACAAATGTTGTTAAACTTGACCAGGTTCAGAAAAGATTTACAAAGAAGTTCCCAGGCTTGGAGTGTTTGAGCTATAGGGAGAGGCTGAATAGGTTGGAGCTATTTTTCTCTGGAGTGTCAGAGGCTGAGGGGTGACCTTGTAGAGGTTTATAAAATCATGAGGGACATAGATAGGGTGAATAGCCAAGGTCTTTTCCTCAGGGTATTGGAGTCCAAAACTAGAGAGCATAGGTTTAAGGTGAGAGGGGAAAGATATAAAAGGGACCTAAGGGGTAACATTTTCATGCAGAGGGTGGTGCGTGTATGGACTGAGCTGCCAGAGAAGTTGGTGGAGGTTGGTGCAATTACAACATTTAAAAGGCATCTGGATGGGTACATGAATAGGAAGGGTTTAGATGGATATGGGCCAAATGCTGGCAGATGGGACTAGATTTATCTAGGATATCTGATTGACATGGATGAGTTGGACCAAAGGGTCTGTTTCCATGCTGTACAACTGTATGGCTGTAAATCTGTTCATGTTTGTGCACCATTGAAGATGAACTCGATTGTGTCCTTACTAAGAAGCTGAATTGCCAGCAAGAGTTCCTTGCCAGTATTTAGGAGTGAGAACTGTGTGGAATATATCCAATTCCTAAGCAAGGAGGCTGTAACAAATTGAAGCATGCCCTAGCCTGCCCCATGAAAATAGTGAAACTCAGCAAAAACCATTGTGTTACAAACTTGGTGATGAAGCTAATTCCATTATTTATTAAGATACTGAATCTGTTTATTTCCTGCCTCTCTGAGCTGTGCTTAGATTTGCATGGACTACTGGACCACCAGAATAACACAAGTGAAGGTAGCACTGTGCTTTTCAATGGGAACCATCTCTTGCACAGATACATTAGATCCCTAATTCACACAAATAGGAATTTTAATTTTAATTGAATTTTCCCCTCATCCCATTCTGGTAAAAGGTGAGAAAAGATTCCAGCTGCATGTACTGCCCCTTCTGTCTCCATTCCATTGTTTGTCCATTTCCTGTGATTTGAATCTTTTTGTAAGCCCAGTCTCCACTTGTCTCCCCAGTACCACTCCCTCTTTGTTGACTAATCCATCAGAGTTTTGGAAATTATGCTAATGACCTATTATCCTGCTGTTTGGACCTGATTAAGTCTATCATGGTTCTCCTTGGCTTCGACCTTTTTAAGAAATTTTGTCTTCATTCAGTTCTGATCACAAATTAATCTTGCCTCAGTTGAATGACGATTAGACTTAGTTCTTAAGTCGGTGATTATTGCAATCCTGCTACATAACATGTGTCACAAGCTCTCCTTGGAGCTGGCTATAAAACTGTCTTTACTTTTGTTGCATGATTCCAAAGCAAAGGTTTTTGAAAGCACCCGTTTGAAAGCTTCAGAAGCAGAGATTCATAATTACCAATCTAATTGACCATAAACAGCACTGCAAGATGTGACAGTCCTGATAAAAAGCAGGGCCATAGGCATTGAATCCTACAGTGTAGAAGAAAGCTATTTGGTCCATCAAGTCCACACTGACCCTCCGAAGAGCATCCCAGCCAGACCCCACTCCATCAACCCTGCATTTCCCATGGCTAATCCACCTAGTCTGAACTTCCCTGGACACTGTGGGCAATTTAGCCTGGCCAATCCGACTAACCTGCACATCTTTGGACTGTGGGAGGAAATTGGAGCACCTGGTAGAAATCCATGGAGATACAGAGAGAATACGCAGACACAGAGAGGACGTGCAAACTCCACACAGTCACCCAAGAGTGGAATTTAATCCAGGACCCTGGCGCTGTGAGGTAGCAGTGCTAACAACTCTGTGCCACCCTTGAAGTGTACATAACCCTCTATTCATAGAATAGTTGCATGAGCGCATTTCTTAAAAGCCTGGAATAGAACAATGAAAAACAAACTTGCCAACAATGTTACATTTCATTTCTATTTTCTCTTCATATTTCTTCAGTTTTCTTCCCTCCCTTCCCAAAGGATTTAACTTGAGGATGTTTTTGAAGGTGGGATGAGATGTGGCTTCAGAGGCACAGGCCGTATCACTTTATCATGTTGCCTATTGATCTTCCAGGATCAGTTTTAGATTAAAGAAGGTCCGTTGTGATAAGACACATTGACGGCATTAGTAAACTTTGTAAATGTGCTATTTGTGTTGCATTCTGTCCATTTCACGCTCATTGACAATTTCCAATGATATTCGCCTCAGCAATTGGTGCTCAATTATTGAAGTTGAGGAGATCCCATGTTGTTGATGTTACATCCTACAACAAGCTGTTGACTTGCTGTGAACAACTTTACTTTATGGATCTCATTACACATGAGCACTGCAAAGTATAGCTTCAAGTCCTAAGTGATAGTTATCAATGTTGATGCTTACAGCACACAACTAAATACCTTACGATGTAAGAACATCCTGAAAATAATCTGAAAATGGCAACAATTTTAAGTGTTAATTAAGGGTCTGCTGTACAAAGCAGAACAACAAGGTTGTAAAATTGTTAGTTTAATTGTTACTGTTATGGAAGACAGTAATTTTGTACATTTCCTTCTTATCTATTTGTTCTTGATAAATCTCTTGGAGAGCTTTGGGAAGAATCTTCAGCAAAGGAACCATTCACAGAATGCATTGTATTGAGTCACTCCTAAGTATTCACCTCAAGATAATCTCCTAACAAAATGGGGTGGCAAGGTGGCTCAGTGGTTCGCACTGCTACCTCACAGCACCAGGTTCGATTCCAGCCTTGGGCAGCTGTCTGTGTGGAGTTTGCACATTCTCCCTGTATCTGTGTGAGTTTCCTCTGGGTGCTCTGGTGTCCTCCCACAGTCCAAAGATGTTCAGGTTAGGTGGTTTGGCCATGCTAAATTGCCCATAGTGTCCAGGGATGTGCAGACTAGGTGGATTAGCCATAGGAAATGCAGGGTTGTGGTATGGGGATGGGACTGGGTGGGATGCTCTTTGGAGGGTCAGTGTAGACCTGATGAGCTGAATGGCCTCCTTCCACACTGTAGGGATTCTATGACCTAGCTGCACCCTGCAAAATTCATATAAATGTGTCTTGTTCATGTGAACTGTATTGCAGGAGGGAACAAAAGCCACAGTCAAAGTTTCCTCCACTAATTGTGTTCCACCACATGTACAGATGCTATTGAAAAGAAAGAGAATCCTGCATCTTCCAAAAATAGTTACTGATGTCGTGCCTCAATTTCCCTTCCACCAATTTGACTCTCCTTTTACATACCTCGCTCCTTCTACAGTGTAAGTTATCTCACTGGTTTTGTTCACCTAAAAAGTATTCCACACCAAATGAGGTGCCAATGCAGACGTGCTGCTTTAGCTTAATTATGT